GAAATTTTGAATTTAAAGGGTTGAAATCGGTTTAATATTTTTTGACCAGGTCGATAACTGCGCTATTGAAAATGAATTATTATTTGTTACTTACTTCCCGGTCAAAGATCATATGATCGACATGATATAATTGCAAGAGTGTTTCGGTTAAAAGTCAAAAAGACCATGAACTTATTGACAAAAGGTAAAATATTCGGATAAGTGAGATGCTATATGTATTCAACAGAATACCAAACTGTAGAGAGGTTCAGGTTTCAGTTGTAAGCTATAACTTATCGAATAGGTTATGATAATAATCATTATCTTAAAAACTAAATTAATATGTATAAAATATAATTTCAAAAATCTTAATTAATTTAAATTTCAATAGATTTAACAAAATTTAATCTTGGCAGGGTCACATGGGCAGTTCTACGTAGCTTGCTCACGCGTAAGCTCACCCAGTAGCTTGGTGATTTTGTCATCTACTAATAGATCAGTGAAGAACATTGTCTACAAAGAAGTTTTGTAGATAACATATTGAATAACTATTAGTAAAACATTTATTTTGAACCTTTAGTGCTAAAATTTATCGTGAACAAAGCTTCTGACGCCAAAAGCTATAACTTATCGAATAGGTTATGATAATAATAATAATAATAGTAATAATAATCATTGTCTTAAAAACTAAATTAATATGTATAAAATATTATTTCAAAAATCTTAATTAATTTAAATTTCAATAGATTTAACAAAATTTAATCTTGGCAGGTTACATACATTTATATACTTAAACCCGGCAACGACGGGTAATTCAGCTAGTATATATATATATTATAAAAAAAGTGTTTTTATAAATGTATTTTAAAACTATTGATAATAATAAAGGTTGTGAGACGGGATGATCTTAAAGGCCCAATAAACCCTAAGAAAAGAAGAAGAAGATACTAATAAGGGGGATATTTTTTTTATTTATATTTTAATTTTTTTAAAAAAATATTGGCAAAAAATTTTAGCCACAAACATTTTTATACATTTTTTTAAATTTTATATTTTAAATTTTTCAATGCCTATGTATATATTGTACCTCAATAAATTGTTTTTGAATAAATAGTAGTATAAATAATAAATAATAAATTGTATATCATTATAAAATGTGCGATTTTTGGTTACAAGAATTTAAAAAAGTGTGCGGTTTTCACCTACCAAAAGTGTGCGGTTTTTGGAGTCGTCGAAAAATAAATGGGTTCGGTCCCCCGTAGCTAGCGCGTTCGAAGTACTTAAATTAATTGATCTAGAAAGAAAAAATTATGTTACCTTTATAACATGTTCATAGTTCTTAGATCTTCAAGCCGCGGGTGACATAATTTGTGAAGGCATCGAATTTTATTGAAAATGACAGATTGATTAGATGACTATATACATCAAGTATATGTAAATAATCATAAGTCGGCGAATGTAAAATCTCAGAAGTATTTTTTGAATTAATATTTCGTTTTATATAAGGCGAAGTAAGATATTTATATTAATTCTTAAAATAACTGTGTTTTAAGGATCAATGTAATTTTCAAGTCAATCATGTAATAGGGATTTACATTATACTTTCAACAAATAATATCACAAAATGGTCTATGCAACGAAAATACTTTACTTACCTTGTTTAATTATTTTCTGTCGTTTCCGGATAGGAATACATTTTATTATATATTATGGAATACTTTATATTTTTCGAGTTTAGTAAAGCCTGAAGGGTACTAAAACGAGGATTAATATTTCATTTTTGGGTTCTCAATCTTTTTATAATTATGAATATTATGATATTATTTTCATAGGTAATTTATAAAACAAAACGTATAGGTATTTTGGTTATCAACCAAATAATTTTTATCCGTTGTTTATTTTAGTACTTTGTTGAAAATTTTAGGTGCTGTAAAAAAATGTTAAATTTATTTTACATAAATTACAAATTTTATTTTCCCAAACTACACTACGAAAACATAATAAAACACTTAATTGGTAGACATATCACTCACTTTACAAGATAGTGTGTGTGTGTGTCTTTGAGAGAAAGAAACAGGAAACTGTGTACAGTAATATCTAGTCACTGCAATAACTGCAACGCCATCTACTGGGGAAAAATGTTTGTTCACGACCAAAGAAAAAAATTATTGAAATTATTTAAAGCTAAATTATTATTTATGTCAATATTGATTTTCTTCAGAAGGGTTCATGCAGCATCATAATTGCAGACTATTTTCCATAATATATGAAAAATTCCGAAAACGTTATATTCATGATATAACGTATTCTATATATATATATATATACATATTCTATGTACATGATAATAAAATAACATATACAGCCACACACATGCTGTTAAATAGTTAATTACAGTCGTTGCCAGATAAATTGAGACGACGGCGGCGGCGCGATAACGGAAAACCAGTGATCCTCCGTATTTCAATATTATTACTGAAAATATATCAATAAACCAACTATTGTTACAAAAAATATTTTACGATATTAATTTAAAATCATATATTCCAATAATAATTTTTTATTTAAGAACAAAAAGTAGAAATTGTAAAATAATATAATAATAATACATAATATTAATAATATGATGAAATAATAACAACATCTATATGCATTATTATAAACAAATATTGTTGATACGACTGAAGTGCTTGCGCGGTCAAAACACACCGGGTTAGGTTAGTTGTTTTTAGCAGTGTAGGGCAACCAGAACGGGAGAGAGAACAGAAAATTCTGCAGACAATTTTTTGCACTAAGCCGGGTTTGAACTGGTAACTGCGCGCGTCGTAGCTAACTGTGAGACCTTTGCACCACACTATCAGCGACTAGTTTGGGCTACACTTAATGAAAAGCGCCGCCGCCGCCGTCTCAATTTATCTGGCAACGACTGTAACTCATTTGTCAACAACAAACTCGTATATATGTGCGATATGTAGAATCAACGATCGACTTGAAGTTGGTGGATGAATTGAATGCTTGAAATTGCTTAACGGTAAAATAATTTCCGACGGTAATGAGAATCAGACGTTTCGGCAGTTAATTCGATGATTTAATATTTTCCATTTCATTTGAATTTCGATAAAAACTATTAAAAAAAAATTAAAAAGAACATGTATAATATTTATGCAGCTTGACTTCTTTGTTATTAGAACGGCACGGGCTCCGGGAGGCGAAGAAAGCGGAACAGATCCAGATGAAAATTATCAACTCCTTACGCGAACACATCACATACAGCATGTCCGATTCACAGCGCAAGTCGTACTATTTCTCCAGGCTACTGGCCAAACTGCCGGAATTGCGTTCCCTTAGTGTACAAGGTCTCCAAAGGATATTTTATCTGAAGCTGGAGGACCTAGTGCCCGCCCCGCCGTTAATCGAAAACATGTTCATCGCTAGTTTACCATTTTAAAAAATATATTATCAATACACGCGTATAATATTGTATAATGTAAAATCATCGAATCGAATATGATCATTAATCTTGCATCTATTAAATCTATTTAACTATCTGTGTGTATTATTGTTATATTCGTGAATATTTTAATCGCATATAAGATTATATTCATACATAAGAGTATATTTTATTTCATTATTATTTTTTTTTTTATTTTTATTATTATTATTATTATTATTATTATTATCATTATTATTATGAATTTTCTTCTTTTTATTATTATTATTATTATTTTTATTTATATTATTATTTGTTAGTTCCCCTTTGAGTTTTGATGGCAAGACATTTTATCTTATTCAACCCGATTATTCGGGCCCCAATTAAAAGTAGCGTTGGTCTTGTAGTTCCCTTTTACAATTTATTCCTCACAAAAAAAATGTATTGGACGTTTCTATTCCCTTCCCATTCTCAAGCCGAGCTTGCAAATATTTCATTTGGTTTTATCTGATACTGTTACTGATATTTATTCAACGTTTACACGCTAAATTGCAAAACTCGATAAGAATTATTTTGTACGTATATGCATAGAAATACTGATTATATGAAATCTACGAGTAAAGAACATACTCCCATCGACTTTGCATCACCTATTATTACGGTTATTTTGTTTTATAAATACGTTTATTGACATAGCAATCTAAAAACGTGCTTCGTTTATTGTCGTACGATCACACATAATTTGTTTAGTCTTAAATATAGCAAAAAACAATTATTTGATTTACCATTTAGGCGTTAGTCCATTTATTATGTTTCAGTATATAATCGTGTTCAAATTTATCAACTACATATATATTACATTATAAGAGTGTGTGTGAATTCATGTGAAGTGTGCAGATGCTTACGTATTTATTATAAAACATCAGTAATGGTTGGTGTATTTGCTTAAATAGTTCATTGAAAATCTAATTATTAGCTTGTAATAGATACGTATGTTGCATTTATTTTATTGATTATTACATACCTATAATTATATTTTTAGACGTTAAAAAGTATATGAAAATGCTGTTTATTTAAGACATATTAATATAGTATTGTTGTAAAGTGTTTTTGTTAATTTCTTTACTGGTAAATATGTTAAATTTTAAAATTATTTTTTTTCTTTTTTGCTACACATTGAAATATAATTGTTAGTGAAACTTTATTGGTTTCATTCCTTCTGTAGTTATGTAATAAAAACAAATATGTTTTGGAAATAATATTTATAAATACTTTATGTTTATTACCTAAAATCATTCGTACATGCTTATAATATGTCGATAAACAATAATTATCCAATACACCATATCCAATTGACCATAAAGGATATTATTTAGAAAGTGCAATTTCATTGGGTGGCTACTAGTTACGTCCCGCGGTAAAAATGTCTTCTTAATGTCTTCTATGGCCCGAAATTTAAAATTAAATTAATTTAAATTAATTTATGTAAATTTAAATTTAAAAAGCTTAATTTTCCTTCACATTTATAAGATACTACAGGTTGATTAAAAATGATGATTTTTATTTTACATTTTGGCACTGGTAAAAATATATATTATATTTTTTAAGGTTAAAAAGTTTTTTTGACATTAAAATCTGATATTAAAATGTATCGTTTTTATTAAAAAATTTCAGCACTGGTAAAAACGTATATGATATTTATTGAAGTTAAAAATGTTAGTATAATTAAATAAAATTTTTAGGTATTCTGGTACTGGTAAAGACTTGTATGATGTATAAATTCAAATTTGTCAATTTGATTTTCTTTTAACTGTTTCATAGCATTTCTAATAAATGTTTCTTTTTCAATTATATTTGTTCTGCTTGTACTTAAATGAGTGCTTCTTAATTTTATATAGGTATCCTTCTGTACATTTTTCAAAACATCGATGAATACAAAAATATTAGGATGAACACTGTGAACAAAGCGTTGAATTTCGAATGAAAAGCCTCACAAAATATTTTATCAGTCAAGATTAAATTATCTAGAGTTAGAAAACCTGGGCCATAATTCGTCTGTACTCAAAATAAATTCGGACAGCAATTCGGATTAGACCTTTTTTCGTTGATATCTTTGGGATGCAACTAATATGCAGCCATTTCATTGGCATTTGTGAAAGAAGGCGAAACGGCAACCAGGTACCCATTTTTTTTAATGGTTGCATATAAGCACATATTTTTATTGCTTTATTTAACTGTCAGATACATGTGCAATAATCTATTGAAATACGCGTTATCGTACTCGTTTCACTTTCTTCCATTGTATATTTTGTACGATTCAGAATGGAATATGTTTTATTATGTTTATTACAAAATACATTTATTTTACGAGTAGATATATATACTGGTAAATGTACAAGTTAACTTATGGTATTACCAATACTGGTATTACTGGTAGTACCCAGTTGTGTACAGTTATATTCTAAAACAGCGGCTCTTAACCTGTGGTCAGCAGATTCAGGATACTCATATCAGATCCACGGTAGCCTTATCACATTACATACGTCAATATGTAACACGAGAGCATTATTACAATATTTTTGGATTATTATTATTATTATTATTATTATTATTATTATTATTATTACTATAATTATTTTTTCCTATAAATCTTATTATACAAGAGATAGACCTATCCAGTGGTGCATCTAGACACTTGGAGGCTCTAAAGTCAAATTTAAAATGGGGCCCCTACCCAAAAATGTAAATACACCATGTACAAATGTACACCACTCCTCCTCCCACGAGGTTATCGAAACCATTGTATCGTGAATAATTTCATAAAATTAAAAATAATTTCATAAGCTTATTTTTTTAAAATATTATAAATGTATAAGTTAAAATCAGTGTTAATATTTCTAGAGCTCTTAGTAAAAATCATATACGAAAAGCCTTACATAATTTGGAAAAAAAACAATAATTGTAGATAAAATCAACTCTTGACAGTTGATATAAAGTACATATTATAATATAATACAATTCAGACGTGTAAATAAAATATTCATATATATATTAATATATAAATTTAAGTATAGTATATTTATTATATACCTATCATCTTTACTTATAATTCAAATACATTTATATAAATAATTTAGTAATTATTATTTTAGTATAATATATGAGACTTAACGATTTTATGACTTTTAAATATGTAAAATTAAAGATGTAGGTACTTTATATTTCATAAACATAAAACATTTAACATATCAAAATTAAAATAATATCATGTTTTTGAAAATGTATATCAAACAAAATATATAAAAGATAAATACATAATTTAATTAATAAACGTAATTTTGACTTTTTAGTTTAATGCACATTAATCGAAAACATTATTATGAAATAAAAAACTTAATTATATCTGGTACTCAAACTTTCTTTGATAATTTAATTTTAAAAAGTTGACTTTTCTTACTTTGCAATTTGCAAATGTATCTATCACATCGTACAACTTTATTTTTGCAGCAACATCTCTTTCTATATTTAACACTGCAATATTAGACAGGGGATCTTGTTCCACTATTTCACAAATAGTTTTTTATCAGTTTTACATTTGAAAACGATCTTTCTGCTGATGCTACTGTTACTGGTAAAGTTATAAATTATACAAGCATTTAAGATATCAAAGAAAGTTGTACATAATTTGTTATTTATGATATACAGGGTCCAGCAAAAAAAACCTCCCGTATTTAGAGCTTACGCTGTGTGAGTTGTGGTGTTGGTACATTTTTTTTTACATTTTTTGAAACCAACCATTTCATTTCATATTCTTATCTAATTACCTAATTATCGATTTCATGCGACAATATTATTCCTAAGTTATTATTATATTTGTAATTAACTGCAATTTTTATAATTGTATTTTATGTTTACCTGTTAGCCGAATAGCTAACAACCACATCTCTAAATATTAAAATAAGAAACGTTCTATTGTAATGCTTATCTGTATTATAATTAACTATCTTCGATATTTTTATTTTCAACTTAATAATTGTGTTTATTTCTCTTATCTTGTTATGTTTTTATATATTAATTGTGAAATTTAACATTATTTTAAGTCATATTGTATTGTTATTATAATCGCTGAGGCAAATATTTTATGCGCCTCTTAAAAAAAAAAAGATATTCATTGTTTTAAACATAATATTGTTATGCAGTATTATGACTTTTAAACTATTGATTTAAATTAACAACTAAAATTTTAAATTAAAAATACCAATCACACAATTACAATTTAACATATTAGAAGTAAATAAAATTTAAATTTTTCGATCCAAAATAAATGTTTTAATATTACATTTTTTTTATAAAAGAATTTCTAAGAAAATGAATATACGATGGTAATTTATAAATATCCTTATTAACTCCAATTCCACCATCATATGGACCAAGATTAAAATTTTTCATACCAATATCTAACAGTTCTACACTTAGGATTAATAATATGTGCATTTGCAAATGGAGTTTAATTTATTCGATGTTCACTTATGCTTAATTAGTAATTACACTATTTATTTACCTTTTTAAAGGATTTAACTATATTGAGTAGGTAGTTTTTGTTTTTGTCATTCAAATAATTGGCACGAAATAAATAATTGATTTCATAACTCTGTAATAATAATATTATAATTGATTATATAAACTATTTGGCGGCATTTTCAAATAAACCAATTGTAGGGCTTGATTTTAATACAGGGGCCGATCTCATGTACAGAAAGCTTATATGCCACCAGGATACCGGGAAAATCCCGGTAGGCCCTCTCAAAAATTATAAGACCTGGGCCCTTAGCAAATATGTACCTGTAGTTTCAGTCAAATTTAGTAATTTTATTATTTTTAACAATTACAATACAATACTGATAGACAGTCGATTTCTGAATTTGGTACCCAATGGAAAATGAGTAAAACACGCAATTTTTCGAATTATTTAATTGATTTTCTTTTGGTAAATATGTCTGTTACCATTGTTTAGATTATTAAAATCATTCGATTATTCCATTTGATTATTCCCATCACTAGTTGTAACATCACTAGCAGAATCGGTAAGTAATGTTGCTGAAGTTCAGCGAAAAAAATGACCTGTATCAGCTCAGGAATACAGTAAATTTAAATATATTGTAATTTCTTTAAGCATATTTCCAATTTTATTTTTTCCAATAACCTACTTGATGCATTAACCGTTTTTATAACTAAAAAAAAAAAATCTATCTGAGGTTACATTTGTGGGTCATAAATCCATGTATTTCATAAAAACATCATATAACTCCTCTTTATTAATAAATAATCGTGAACAATTTGTTTTCTAGTAGAGAAGTTTAAAGTGTAATAAATATTTCACTAATGAATATTACATATATCGTAATAAATGAACGGAAAATGAATAGCCAATACAAAACAATTTTATCTCTCCTACCTTTTTACAAAATATTGAATATCAGGAGTTTCGTCAATGAATTTTTTATATCGGTTGTAGTCAGAATTTTAGAATTTTTACTTTTAATCCACTCGATTTTCTCTTTTAAAAAACTTGTAATTTTAAATAAGTATCGACGTTAATATTATGTTTCATATTTTTCATGCTTTTAAGCATTGAATAAATAGACCATAAAGTTGACGATTTAATTTTTGTAGATAATTTGTAAAAATTTGTAAGAAACATGTTTTCCGACAACGATTTGGTTTTATTATTTTCAATTTTAAAAGTTTTTCATAAGTCATTATTTATCTTTCTTTTGATTTTTCAGGCAATAGATTTAGTGAAACGGCATTTGTCATTTTAACCAAGTATAGTAAAGTTAATGATTCACTACAACTACTGTACTGATTATCATTTTTCATATTTATGCTTGTTTGCGCGTTTCGCAGTCAAACCATCACTGGTTCGATTGTGTGACGTACTCGCGTAGTTTGTAATAAAAAAGAACACTTAACGAGGATAATTAATGAAATTATAACAAATGCCAAGATAAACGGGTCAAAAGCACCACAGTAATGTTAGCAAAAAAAAAAAAAAAATAGTAATTAATATGATAAATCTAAAAATAATAATAAAATCACATATGCTCCAAACGCGTTGTAATAATATATCAATAATACAAGACAAATCGTATAAAAATAAATATAATATTTTTAACAAATATAACGGAAGATACCTTAGACGGTCTGGCGTTCGAGTGGTTATGCCCACGTGACCGTGTTCACACGTACGACAAACGCCACAACCGGCAGAAGAATCTGTTGATCAGCAGCGTCGGTCTCGATTTACAGTAACTGGCTTCTCCATGCACGACGATAGCCGAAAGAAAATTTCGCGGACAACGGTCAGCTACGGTTCGAACAGTCGTCACACACACGAAGTTGTCCCCGGAGATGGTGACTGCACCGTGCTATGCCGCAACCACAAAAACACACGGCCGGCGGCACGGGAAAAACAGCGAGTCGGACGTTTGCAGATAGTGTCGGCGGAAAAAAGCCCCGGCAGTAATGGCGTCCACGGACCGGTAATATTCGCGATAACGCACCGATCGAAAATTCTCGAACATCACACGCCGACACCGTTATCGGGTGCTCCGGTTAACACGAAATGGGGTAATTTAAACGACAACGTGACACTTGCGCGAATGATCTCATTTTCTAATTCGAATTATTATTTAAATCACGCAAAACAAATTTATCCGACGCACTTGTGTGGGAACAGTGAAAACGAAATATATTTTAATGTTTATGCGTCGTGCAAAGACGTTGTGATATGCATGTATGTGTATCATACAGATGTGTATAAGATTTAACAGAAAGTTGATGTTTTATACGGACCGTGGTATACATTTAAGTTTCTGGTTGTGCTGGGCCAGCGGTCTTGGAAATTTCCACTTTACTACACGGTGTTATAGGGTTTTCCACTTTCCCTCCTTTCCCCGTACTTTTTGAGATTTCCACTTTACCGCCCACCACTATAGGATTCCCATCTTACCGTCCGCTGGACGGATAAATGTGACATTCAAATGTTTTAACCATGATCGAAAACCAAACTGTCGGTACAGGTTTGACAAAAATGTTATACCTAGAAAGTCATGTTTTAATTTCGATTACTGCTTACCTTTGTGTTTATCATTTCGATTTCTTTATTGTATAGCACTTACGAGTGTAACGAGAACTTTGAATAGTTAATGAAATAATCTTTTGGGATGAAATAATTCAACAGTGATCGATCCTATAAGAAGGGAGCAGATTTTGGAATTTTTCAAGAATTTAATGGAAGATTGAATGCTCTGCAAACATTTTCAATGCCTATAATATTACACAAAAACAGTGAGATAATTATGTATTTTGAAATAACAGTCTTGAAAGATTCTTCCGATCCCGCCAAATATTTCCGTTCTCTCTTAAAATAACAATTATGTACCGTCACCATATGTGTTATACATTCACGAAAACAAATAAATTGATCTTGTGTCATCGTTAATGATATACCTAAGTTATTTTGAGTATTATAAATTTTATTAAAAGTAAGACTTTTAAGTTTATTATTAGTGCTTTTCCATATGCAAAAATTTACATTCCGATGGTCGTCAACATTTAACACAAAAGATTTTAATTGATTTTTATTTGATAATTATCTAAGTCATGGGTTCTCAACCTTTTGAGGTCCACGCCCCCTTTCAAAATATTTTATGAGTTCATGCCCCCTCCCCCCCCCCTCTTCACTGGTATAAGATTGATGTGAAATCGTAATATTTTTTGCGGGTCACCAAAACTTGTTCTTATCGCGTCGAGTGTCGGTTTTTCGCCGAAACAATGCTTCTATTAATATCCAGAATACTAAAGAGCATAAATATATGATTTGTATAATCTTATAAAATCATAATAATCGCTCGGTGTATGCCTATTCATCGACCCCGGCGGCGATCAACACACCGGCAATACACGGCGTAGAAAACGGCAACGTTTTCATTTTTCGTATTCTTTTTCAACATTTTCACGCCCCCCCCCTGAAATTTTGTCACGCCTCCCTAGGGGGGCGCGCCCCCCAGGTTGAGAACTCGTGATCTAAGTCTATATCAGTGTTTCTAAACCTGGAGGTCGTCAACTTATTAGTTAAGGTCGCATATGATTTAAAATTTAAAACAATAAAAATATTAAAAAGCTCCAATAATAAAATAAAGTAATGAAAAAATAAAATCAATAAATATTACAATATTTTATAATACGAGTATATATTATTATTTTTACAGTGATATTATTTGATGTATATTGAAGAATCTATACATAAATGTCGAATATATATTATCAACTAAATTATAAGGCCACTGCCGCAGTGCTAGCAATCATATACTATTTTATCGCAATTCATCGATCAAATCATCGTGCACCGTTGTGAAGTTGTGAAGTTACACTTTTACATTTTTTTTCATATCTGTATATACTTTATCTTATTTTAATTACATTTATTATTATAAAATATTTCTTATATAAGTAAACGGTCATAAATGATGGATTTTTCAAACGACTGCCGAATACAGCGACTTCAAATAATCAATACTTAATTATTACAAATAAACGTAATTTGGATGCTACCCGGAACGTTAATAAATCGCCATTCAAAAAGATAAAAATGTTAAAATATAAAAATGGTTACATTCAATATGGGTTTACATGCCTAAACGAAAATGGAAATGACATTCCTCAATGTGTTATTCTTGGTATAACACAGGCAAATGATTCACTAAAACCAAATAGGCTCTCATTAGACACCTGGAAATGAACCATGCTCAATACGATTACGTTATATCAACGTATTATTTTTTTCATCGGGATTGCAGTATTGTTTGTAGACGTATCGGTGAATTATATTTGTGTTGATAGAGTCTTGTTAAAATATATATATGTGTATATGTGTGCTTGTTTTTTTTTTTAATGACGATTAATAATTGTAAAAATGCGATCGCGTATTTTATGGTAAAACGGACACGGAAGTCTCGAGGTTTGACGGTTTCAAATCGCCCGCCCAACGGTGTGCGGGGTCACGGAAATTGGGCGCACGCACGTATCGCCGTTGTCGCTCCTACACCGAGGTCGCTTTTATCACGCACCAACCCGTTATCAACAACGGTACGGCGACGATGATAACAAGATCGTTGATCGCAGCCAATCTTAACGGTTACGTAACACGAAAAACGACGACGCCGTCGAGTTGACCAGACGTGGCGAGTCGACGGCGGTGGACCGATAACAATACGAGATCGATAGAGACCGTCTCAGCTGACGACCGACAGTTTCACGTGCCACCGGCCGCGGTATTTTTGTTCCTCCGTCCTGTATCTACCACCTATAATGACCATAAATCTGGACATCGTGCTGAAGCGGACGAACAAAGTCTACCATGAAGGCGTGAGTAAACATTTTAAATCGTTTTCAGATGACGTTTAATTGTGTTCACACCGTATTGCGCTAAACCCAGGACACGATATCGGGCGTGATAACAATCGAGACGCCGATGGACGCCAAACACGAAGGCATCACAATGACCATAGAGGGTGCGGTCGACCTGCAAATCAGCAACCAGAACGTCGGCGCCTTTGACGCTTTCTACAATTCCATCAAGGTACGTTGGTACACACAGTCGAGTCTCCATAACTCAAATTTTTTTAAAAATACAAACGAATTCGAGTTAGCTATTATTATTATTACTTATGTGTATATTTATGGACTACAATTACAATTAGAAAATTACATTTTAAAACACAATATATGTATGGTTCCTACAATTTAAAAAAAAAATAAGAATTTGATAAGTAAGATAACTACTGGATATTCATATTTTTCTTTATATTCGTCTGAGTAAGATTTGAGAATCAATTTTACTGAATACTTCAGTTATACATACATTAGTATTATAGGCGGACATCAGGTGGAGGGGGGGAGTAGCCCCCAAAATATTTGAATAGCCCCTCCAAAATCTAAACTGTGTTAGAAATGTTATTCATCGTTTTTATAAGTATCTGTTCGTTTTTTTGAAAATCGTAAAATAAGAAATAATAAAAAACTATTTACAATAATATTTACAATACCAATTAGTTCGGCTACTTGTGAAAGAAGTTTCAGTGTAATGAAAAAAAATAAAAACTTGGCTAAGGACATCGTTTGTTCAAGATAGGTTCAGCGATCTTTCATTACTATATATCAGAGGTAGGCAACTGGCGGCACACGAGCTGCATCTGGCCTGTAATATATTTTAAAATTACATCATACAATTTTAAAGTTTTCGTCTATACTCTAACTTATCAATATAATAGTTGTTATCTAGTATTAAACATCGTTAAATGTCTAAATGTTATATGTATATATAAGTATAGCTTTCAACCATAGCTGTTACCATTGATTATAGAGTAAATAGTTTATTCTATAATCAATGCTGTTACCAAACTATTTAACTATATCAGATTCTTCGTACCATTCGGATTAACATAATCCATATAGAATCCACATGATATGTTATTTCTGGTTACAATTTATAGTGATCTACTATAACATAAAAATTGGAAAATATTACATTGAATAGATAAGAATTTCTTAGGGACAGAAAAAAAATTCAAAATATTGAGGCTCAACTGTATTGTGCATACCGAGGATCATTGTTGATAGTGTTGTGATGGGTTCCTATTTTATTATTAATTTTTTTAAATTTCCAGCCTGTGCAATTAATGATGTGCACGTTAGATGTAGCCCGTCCTGGCCGATTCACCAGCGGAATCACTGAAATACCATTTGAAGCACCAGTCGAACCGCTTTTCAACAAAACATTATATGAGTCCTACCATGGTGTTTTCATCAATATTCAGTATCTTTTAAAGGCTGTAATTAAAAGGAATTTTCTGAACAAAGACATACATAAGACACTGGAGTTTGTGGTTGAGAATAGAGTGCGTACTAAGAAAAAATATGTTATAACCCACAATGTGTAATGTTTGGTTACCACAACTTGACTAATTTCATTTATTCCAGCCAAGTTTAGATACATTGGTTACTAAGGTCGACAACTTTGTGATAAATCAAAATACTTTAGCTAACATCAATGATATTTCGGACATACCAAAGTTTCTAATTTTAGGAACAATTGACTCAGTCATCTGCTCAATTACTCAGCCATTTACTGGAGAAGTAAATAGAACAAAATAACATTTATGTATCAGTCAATTTATAAGACTATGTTGGAATTCTAGTTGAAAATTGAACACTCTGATGTCCCTATTAAGTCGATAGATATTCAATTAGTACGTGTGGAGACTTGTGGATGTGCTGAAGGTTTTTCAAAAGATGGTATGTATTTGTTTCTCTAATCCAACATAACATTCAATATTATTGCTTTATTTAGCTACTGAAATCCAAAATATTCAAATAGCCGAAGGAAATGTATCAACCGGTATCTCAATTCCAATCTACATGATTTTTCCAAGACTATTTTCCTGTTCCACAACCAAAACAACAAATTTCAAAATTGGTAAATCTATATTTTATACTGATTTCAAAAGATTGAATTTTCTGTTTTAATTATTTCAATCAACTAATGACTAAATATCATGTTGTATATTTTTTTATGAAAAAGTTAACTGTGTTAATGTATTAAATATTGTGTTTTTCAGAATTTGAAGTTAATGTATCTGTTATTTTCATCAATGATCACTTGGTGACAGAAAATTTTCCAATAACTGTCTATAGATAAAATATAGCAAGAAAAAAAAATTTTATAATCAATTTGTAATAAAAGTAACTTAATAATGTTACATCAGAATTTATATATTTATGTTCAAATTAGCTTATAAGTGGTTCATTATTTATTTTTAGTTTAACACATGTTAGTAATATATGTGTTTTTGTAATTAGAGTCATGTTAATATTCAGTGGTACACAGAAGTATTTTGAGAGCACATGTAACTAAAAAAAGTTACCCACCCACCCACCAATTTTTTTTTAAAAAAAAAAACGTTTATTTAAATTGTTGTCTGTAACTGTTATTAACTCTTAAAACAACTATAAATTTAAGAAATTAAGATTTATTATAATTAATTAAAATTAAGATGTCTACACCCAGTGCCATATAAGTATAATGTTTGTGTTATAATAATGTTATTTGCTTACCATACTCCATAATGTTTGGTATCAAAGTTTTCCCATTATATACATACCACCAACCTACCCATACACCCACTCCTGACGAGAGTACATGCAATGCACTCCTTGGTAACCTGTCTGGCGCCACTGTTAATATGTCCTGGAAAACATATTTAATTTTTTTTTTTTTTTTTCTCACAGAAGAAAAAATTGAGTTTAGGTTAAATATATTTTATATAATATTCGGTGCTCATTATATATAATCTTATTTTAGTTAATTTTGATGTTTGAAGTTTTGAGTGTGATAATTTTCTTATTTTATATTTATTATTTTCCTAATATAATGACTGTTGTAAATTAATCTTATTTTTTTTCAAATTATTATTATTTTTTTTTTTTTTCAAATTAGATCCTAATTTTAATTAGCACGGACTTGGCTATGCTAAGTTATGAATACATATTACAATAGAAAAAATGTGCATACTTGCATTCAATATTTTATTACATAGTTTCATAATCATTTCTTTTGTATTATCATTATAGATTCTTTCCATTTGGTTAAGAAGTATTTTAATTAGGAGTGTTCAAATGTATAATATTTATTTATTATGTTTTAAATGTCTTTGCCCATTGCCAAGAAATTATAAATTTGCATTATTCCAAGAGCTTTTTTAAACACCAATAAAATTCTCATTGTCTTAGATTCTTCTGTTTTCTGTTATTAACAAACATGAAGCTCATTATTTTAAATTATTTATATGGTTTAGTCTTTTATTTTATCGTCATTTGTTTACTCATTGTTGTTATTATTAATTAATCATTATTATATCAATTACTATATATGTTTTCCAAATGTCAATAACTATATATAATTTTTTAGATTTTCTTATATGGCTTATGTAAGTCATAAAAAAAAAAAATGAAATGTATAACTGAAATAATATAATAGCATAGGTATAATAAGAAAATATAATGTTGTAAAAATTTAAATGATCAATAATCAATGAATATTGCATTTATATCAATATTTATCTCAACTCTAATTTAAAAAAAAAAAAAATACAAACATATTGTTTCATTAATTTTAAGCACTGTATGTACTTAAACAAATCAAATAATTATTTTTATATAATTATAATGAATACTTATATTGACTAAGATTTTATTTTTTTCAATGAAATATAACATTTCTTAAAATTTTAAAAATTATAATTATGCAAGTAGTATATTTTTTAAATATAATATTAAATCTATACTTACTTCTTAGAGATTAAAAATGCATGTTCAAAGCTTTACTAATAGATGTATTTAACTACACAAATTCATGTGACTAATATTATTAAATTATAAAATGTTGAGTTTTTAACAAATAACACATATTATTTAATAACTGATTGGCATCAGTTCTCATTCATCTGCATTTGATTAAAATAAAAATGCATTAATGCAACAAAAAAAATGTCACTAAAAAGTGTTTAAAAAATTAGAAACAATATAGTTGTGTTTACTAACCAATACAAATACAAAACATTTAGGTTCTTGATTATTATTTATTAACTATTATTATAATATATATTTTATAAATTACATCAGTAGTTAAATAATAAATATTATATATTACCCAGATTTGTTGTGGAGAATACATTTGTCGTCGAAAAGAATTTTTTTATGTTGCTTGTTGTTGTACTGGTAGATTTTCTTTTTATGCTACATGCATTCTAGTGTCTGAGCCAATTGGTCTGGTTTAAATTACCTTTACTCTTATCACAGATACATAATTCATGGGCGTAGCTAAAATTTGAATCAGGGAGGGGCAAAAACATAAAATGATTAGTGTTAAACTCGTAATTCAAATAATCTACAGATAGACCATTGGATAACACATAAAACGTCAAAACGATTACACGTGTAGATATCACTCGGTCCCACTAAACTATTTTTAGAATTATATCTTATTTGATTTTAATGTAAAACTTACACGTTTGGTATAAACATATAATTCAGTTTGAGGCGCATGGATGGGCAAGTGCCCCCCCCTGTCCCACCATCGCTACACCCATGACATAATTTAACATTATTCATAATGAATAAATCAATAAATGTATTGTAATAACTATCAAATACAAATTTTGATTTACAAGAAGTAATAATTTAATAACCAATAGATAGAAATCGGTCAACTAAACACGTACAAATTATTTGACGGATGAAATAAACCATGCACATTCCTGATATCATAACCATAAACAACAATTAGTATTGATATATTATTAGGTATGTTCATAGAGACAGAATTCTATGTGTATAAGAATATAAGATATATTTATTTATAGATGTTATCTAATGTTTTTGTCAAGGGGAATTCCATCTTTGCCATATTGTGTATAATGTAGAAATAGTAAACGAACAAAATAATGTTAAATAACTACTGCTTTAGTAATTGGTGTCATTATTCATCAATGAATGTTTGAACATAAATGTACATCATAATCAGATGTGTACAAAATATATAATACATTTTTTTGTGTAACATTTGAAACATATATTCTAATCCATCTACCCAACGAACCTATCCACCCACCAAATATATTGTGTTGCGGTCGCAACAGATAGATATAGGGATCGGCGCCACTGATGAGTTGTTTTAATTAACCTGACTCTGTAAAATCGACTCCATAGTCTCCGGGAGCAGGCGATTTTATTAATCAGTCCACTGGGTCGTCATTAACACTCTTACTTGTGCGTTTAGTTATAGAAGTTTAAAAACAAATTTTTTTTATTTACGATCCCATATCCGTAAGTGACAAAGCAAAATATGCAACGGGCCGTTTCAATCGGGACATTTTAGTATTTTGTCGGGACGTCGGAGCTCGGTAACGGCGACAATCCCGACGTATTGCGAGACGAATGGCATAACCTCCTTAAGGTCCCCACACACTGCCACGGTGGCGGTGGCGTTGCGGTGGCATTAATTTTGTACACACGTATTGTAATGGGAGTCCGCACACTGCTACGGTAAAATATTGCCGCTGCGATATTTTAAAAACCGTAGCATGCTCGATTTCACCGCTACCGCTCAGCGGTATTTTCAAATGACTTATCAAATATACGCTAATAGTACCTGTACTATCTGATATATATGGTGTATATTAGTCTAGACTTCGATTATTTCCAAGAAACTATTCAAGTTATTGTTTAATATACTATTTAACTTAATTAAAAATAATTCATATAAATATATAAATCAATACAATATTATATATATTTATATTTATAATGAATATGATATGTACAATAGTATAAGTACTTAATATAGTACCTACTATACCTATTAACATACTGTATAGATCAATCGTCAATCTATCAATGACATAGGAATTAATTAATTAACTATAAAATTATTGTATGTAATATCATTGATTATAAATATTTATAATCAATGGTAATATATAAATATATTATGTTTATACTAGATAAAAATCCCCACCACCACCGCTGCAATGTGTTCAGGTCTGCGATTTTAATATCGCCACCGCAGCAGTGTGGGATACCTTTATACGAAAATCGTGCGTCGACAACTTACCCCGTAATTGTTAACCGATAAGCATGATTAGCATAATTTCCGCGGGACACGGAAACGAACGATTTTTGTTTTTTTTTCCCGTCCACGTCATTCTCCTGTCCACGCACATTTTACGCACACACCTCTCACGGCGGTCCGATTCGATGTTCGCTCGGCCGAGAGGGCGGTTCGGGTCCACACGGTGTTCTGCCGACTCATTGCCTCCACCCGGCGCGCGCCCTATACGTGCACACGTCCACCGCAACGAGAATAGTGTGATAGCGATGCGCATGTGTGCGTGCCCCGTGACAGGAGGGGTGAAGGGTTCCGTTAACAGCGACGTTGTTGGTTATGCCGGCGGTCTTGTCGTACACATAGTCCGTTGTGCGCGTACGGCATTCCTTTCGGGACCGCCATTCTTTTGCCATTCGCAAGAAACATATCGCGCCCGCACACGGTCGTTAAACGCAGCACGCGCGTACCGCACCGCAGCTAACCTGACCCCGTCGAGATGAACGCGTTCGTCGAGCTGTTCCACCGGATGGCCCTGCTCGTCTTCACGCCCAAATGTTACGAAGTGCTGTTCGTCGACCTAGACTTCTTCAACGGTAAGCGGGCACGGTTTTCTCGTTCGTCCGAACAGCGCAGTTGCATTTCGTCAAAGGCTCAGTGTTTTCCGGACGAACATCAGAATGAACATCTATTCGTCACCAACTTTTCGGTTTAATGTTTACCCACGACCCTATCAACGAGCTCGTTTCTCGAATTCCTGTCCTGTGGGCCAAGCAAATCATTCTTATGTTTTCAACACAGCAACGCGTTTTTATTCGTTTAATAAATTTTAGATCTTACTTTTGTTTGCTCTTCGATGTAAATTATACTGCTGATATACGATTGATATGTTTATATCAATTGTCTTGTCTTGGTAAATGATCTGTAAAAAATAATTTTGCTCTTTCTCTTCTAATTGTTGTACATTATCTTTTTTGAATAAAACTACCAAGAAATAAACTTTAGCTTACAAAATAATAAGGTGAACTGTTTACATTACTTATTAGAGTATAATATAAAGCAAAACAAACACGCTTTATAAGATTACGAAATAATAATTTCTCATCTGTATCAAATCTTTATTTTTCTATTTGTAGAAAAATAAATTTAATAATTTTTCTATTTGTACTTTAACTTAAACCGAACAAATTGTATTTGGAATGAACCTTCTATTTTAGTTTTGCTTATTTTCAGTTATAAGTAGATACAAATGATAATAATTATAATTGTGCTATATTTTATTATATTTTAATAATTTATAATTTTAATTTTATTACTTGATTAATAAACATTACTAGTTATTCTTAATCTTTAATTTAAATAATTCTAATTTCTAACTAGAATTACACAAAATACTAGTGCAACTAGATTCAAGTTTTATATATCAGAGAACTATTTGTTCTGAAGCTATTATAAGTTATATTTACCTATAACAAATTTAGTAGTTTAAAAATAAAAATTAATAAAGCAACACTAATAGAAATCATTATTTATTATTTACCCGTTTTTATTTAAATACTATTGCAGTATAATTTTATTTAAAATAACACTGTGTTTGGTAAACATAATTCTAACAGCTACAAATATAATTTGTATAATCTAAAATAATAAAAAAATAAAAACTATTTCTAATTACAGATTTTTTATATTTGATAGGTTAATATCACCATTTGAAAAACCACTAACCTAGTATTTTTTGCGTTTAACATTAAAAATATAAAACAAAACTTAAATCAAACATTGTTGACTTTCTATTAGTATAAATACCTATTCCTATTCCAAAGTATAAAGTGTTAAGTTATGTAAATAAATAAAATAGTACATTCTTCAGAAAGTATTCATTATTACATTGTTTTCCTTGTGTATATGTTTGTTAATCGGTTAAATGAAATATTAATTTTGAAACTACAAATTACAATTTATGGTTAATAATCGCAGCAGTAATCAAGCTTGTACCTCATTTATTTTGTATATCTGTGAATATTTCACAGTTATTGATAGTTATGATAATGGCAGTAGGGCAATTATATACTAGTACCATTTAATTTTTTGGTCTGTAAAAGTTCAGAGAAAAGTAATTTGTTGATCATCTTAATCATAACTGGTTACTGTCTTTGGAGAACGCTATTTAATATTAAATTATAAATGCATTCCATGTTTAAATATATTTAACTTCAATATTTAATGACCTGTTTAAAAATTATATTGCTATGATCTTGGTCAAAAATATTAACATGTCTTAACTATTTTTCAGGTACTTGTTTAAAATCTGCTCTCAGTAAAGGTCTTGGATTCGGAATAGTTGGTGGATCTCTGCTAGGTAAATTAATTATTCGAAAATGTACAATGTTATATATTTTACAACTATTTATGTGTTTTTGGATTTTTATTATATGTTAACTATTGGAAAATATTTTACATCTTGATTTGTGTACCAACAACTTATATCTAAAATCAGGAAATTTTATTTTTAGTCAAGCTTCCACAAGTCTTAAAAGTATGGAATAGTAAAAGTGCAGTTGGTATAAGTTTGATAAATGTTTGTATGGATTTATTTGCTGTTACTGCAAATGTTGTGTATAGCTATTCAAGCCAATTTCCATTTAGGTAAGAAATAATTATCATAATTTAATATTTAAACTAAATCATTTGATTGAAATATTTTCTATGAAATCTTGATGTAATAAGTAAATAAACAATTTGAATATTAATAGTTAAAAATAAATATTATTAATAATTTCAAACCTTTTCAACATTTTCAATATTTATATTTTCTATAATTTAAAATTAAAATTGTAAAACTAAAAAAATTTAAACAGTTTCAACAGAATTTTTTTTTTCTTATTACGATATGTGTTTTATATTTAATATTTTTTTTTATTTTACAGTGCATGGGGTGATTCATTATTCATACTTTTTCAGACATTACTAATTGTGATATTAGTTTTGTATTATAACATATCTAAAAGGGCTGCTAGTTCTTTCACATTCATTTACTGTTCGTTATTATTTCTCCTTGTATCTGATATTGTTCCAAATTCTTTCCTATGGAATGCTCAGTTTATCAGTATTCCTTTAATGTTCTTCGGCAAGGTAAAAAAAAAAATTCTCTATAGTATAACTATTGAATATCACCTATAATTTGTTCAATTTTTTGTTATAGATGGCTCAATGCTATGTTAATTTTAAAAATAAGAGTACAGGACAGTTGTCGATGGCCACATGTCTTCTGCTATTTTTGGGATCATCTGTACGTGTATTCACATCAATACAAGAAACTGGAGACAGCCTTTTAATATGGAGTTTTGGTCTAGCATCGTTTGCCAATTTCATAATTGTTACCCAATTTTATTGTTTCAAATCTGGATCACCTGTTAAAACTAAAAAGAGAAACAAAAAGAATAAAAGATCTTAAATATTATACATTATTATAATGCCATATTTATTTACTGATTTTTACAAAAATATTATAGTGCTAAGTATAATGTACTATAATATACATAATTTTAATGCCATATTTATTTAACAATTTTTCAAAAAAAAAAAAAAAATATAATGCTAAGTATAATGTACTATAATACCAGTTTATAAGGTTGATAATATTTAAAAATTATTCATTTTAATTGTTTTTATATCTTAACGTTTTTTTTTTTTTTTTTTTTGTGAAATTCCATTTACAATAGAAAATTCTCTTAAATTATTATTTATTTTAGATTGTGATTTTCAATTGATTATTTATTTGTAAATTATAAGAAAATATTTTAAATTATAACATTCGAGTGTTCTGAACAATTTTCTTAAATTATCTGTGTGATATTTATTGTTAATGGATGTATTTTTAAAATAATAATTTATGACTTAAAATTGGGTCTCATATTTTATTGTAAATCCATTTAATTAATATAAGTTAAAATTGAATATTTAAAAAAATATGGTTGTATACTTCAGAATTAAAATTTAAATAAGCTATTGTAGTCGAAATCTATTAACATGATTTTTTTAACAAACCAATATATTTGTATATTAGTATACTGCATAGTATGTTCTAAATTTATTTTATTTTTTGCTTTCATCTAGCAGTATTTTATATATTAATTAATTATAATGTTATATGCAATAAGTTATATTATATGTGAATTAACTTAAGGAGCCCTCTTTGAAATTGGTGATAAGAAAAAGTTTTAGATTTAGAGGTGAAGTATAATTATAAGAAAAGAGGAAATTAATGTCAGTGGATGAAAAGGCTGAAAGTTTATTAAAAGTGATTGAATACAATTTAGAGATAGAAAATAGATAAATAGAATAGAATAGATATTGCAGTTGGTCTCAAGTTGATAAGATGTGGAGGGAAATTAAGTATAAACTATCGAGTGGGATAGAAAATTATAATTTATCAGCGGTTCAAATTAAGATGATGAATGATGTGAATAAGGAAATTAAGGTGTAAAAATAAGAAAAATAAAATTAGAAAATGATCCCATCTTAACTAAACTTTAATAAAATTTAATTCAAATTATATATTTCATAGTCATAACTATTTTTAAGTTTAAATTAAAAATATTTTAGCGATATAAGAAATTAAATTTCTGACCAAAGTGATGAGTTAAATTTTATTTGTATTTTTATTTTGATAATGAAAATACCTTTATTTAACATATTTATTCATACTTTAAAATTCAATAATAATTGAAATACATGCCAAAATGAAACTACTATTAACCAATTTATTATTTTAAATCTATATTTTATAAAATTATTTATAGAAGGAAAGGATTTAAATAAACATATTTTGTTTGTTCTATTACCATGAAAATACCAGAAAAAAATATTTGATTTAAATTTAACTAAGTATTGAAATTAAACTATTGTTAATATAATGTTAATAATATATTTATTCATTCAATTTTAATTTTACTATTATGTAACATATTTATTTTTAATAAGTTTTATTATATATCAATCAATTACTTTAAACCAAATAACCTTAAATCAATCTTAAATATGTATAAATAAAAAAAAATTATACAATTTTATGTCTTATTACATTAATCATGACTTATGAATTACGGCTAGTTCTTTTATATTTATTACTGTTTTATGTCATAAATATGACAATATTAAAGAGGAGAGTATCAAGACTAATCGTTCTAATTATGATTTGTAATTTATATTATACCTCACTTAATTGAGTGCAAAACTTCTTATATTTCATGCTTAGGTACTTATAATACTAAACACATATTGTATTCTTTTCAATAATATATAAACTATAACACCGTAATAATATACAGTAGTAATCTATATTTTAAATTAACATAAGTATAATAACTTAAGATATTATCACAATTTAATGTTATAATAAATTATGATTTCATGTATGTATTATTTTTATTGAAATTTGTAGGCCAGTAGGTTAACTTGAACATTTTGTATTGTACTATGTATTATGTTAAGTATTATTAAAAACACTTTTAAAATAAGGAATGGTATTTTATTTAAAAATGTAATTTTTTTATATTTTTTTTACTAAACTGCTGAAAGTCGTCATAAGCTTATAAAACCACAGATTAATTAAGACGAATTAATAAAAAAAATAATACTATTTTATGAATGCTATCTACAATAATCAGTAGAATGATCAAGTATTATCACTAAGGCTGTGCATTTAATGTACTAAGGAACCTTAAAATATGCACTTAAAATGGTTTTTAATCGAATTTTTATATTGATATCAGATACAGGATATTATACATTAATACATGCATAAATAAGTGTTTATTTAAAAAAAAAAAAAAAATACTAAAAATGTTGACTGAATTTAAATTTTCTATACTTAATTTCACATGAAACATTTTTAATCATTTTTTTTTTAGTATTTATTTTGTTAGAATAATAAAACAAACTTAAATATATTTATTTTTCGGTACCTTATTCATCTTTAATCTTTAGAATTTGATTAAAAATACCAGAAAATGAACTAAAAAAGGAAAAAATGACCTAAACAATTTAAAAACGTCAAAAAATGCAAAATTAAATTTACATAAATGGATTCTTAGTTACATAATTAAAATTATTTACTTACAAAGCTACATTTCACATTCACCAAAAATAGTGTACTTTCCTACAAATCCACAGCCCTAATTATCACATAGTCATGCTATTGATTTTAGAATATACAGTTTCCCGATATGCCATTCTATTGTTAAATTTAAAAAGTTTATATTGTTGAAAATGTATTTTTATCAAACGGTATACAAATGAAAAATGGAAAAATATGTTGTCTTATCCATAAGCGTAAACAGACATTTTTAGACGCTTCAACCCACTAACTAGTGGCTACTCCTACTTTATTCTAATTGAGGCACCAAATATATACAGACAATAGGAACCTAATAATATTGAATGGTTACTCGTTTATTTTTTATTTGAATAGTATAAAAATTATAATATAAATAATTTAATAGTATTCCTTTATGACCTACAAACTATAGTTTTCTCCAATAACCATGGTCCGTAAATATTCCAGACCATTCTCGCATATCAACAAAACAAAATAAAATTGTAAATATCAAATATTAAAGTAGACAATTTATTTTGACGTCTGGTGTAGATTGATTACGTTCAGGGGGGCTTAAGCCCCCACCCCTATGTTCTCCTCAATAACCATCTATGGTCTCCAAAGGGGTGTGGCATACATTATCCCTTAAATAAATCATATCGCAGAACATGTATACATAAGACTACAGAAATACAGAATATATACATAATGATAATTGAATGATACGAACGAGAGTCGCGAAACTCGTACCCCGACAAAAGAAATAAAATAACAATAAGCACTTTTGAATAATAATAATGTTTTATTGAAGTAAATAGGTAATAAAAAACGCATGTGTGTACACCAGATGTATATTGATGAGAGATTTTGTTTTTTGGGAGGGGAAAGTAACAGCTGTTCCCTTTTTTTATTTTCTTAACATGGTAACCCTAGTACCAGGGACGAAAGTAGGGGGTGGAAGATGGGGATTCATCCCCAGGCGTAACATTTTAGAGGGCGTAATTTTTGTAATTATTAATAATTAATTTGATACTTTTAATTTTGTTAAATACTGATATTAGATTAAAACTCAATTAGTATGATTGTATATTAATTATTAGAAAAAAATTCTCCAGAAGAGTATTTGATTATTGGTCTATGATAGGGCGTAATTTTAACATTTTCCAGGGCGTAAAAATTCCTAGTTCCACCTCTGCCTAGTATACACGATATGTTCCCTGTTCGGGAACTAGAGAGCAGCGTGGGCTCGCCGTCGCGACGTTAGAAGTGTAACGCGATGAAAGCACGGTGCTGGAACATAGATACCAATCGTGTCACCAGTGGCGTATTTGAGAGGGGGCGATGGGGGCAATCCCCCCCCGAGAATTTTTAGACCAAGACAATTTTTTTATAAGTAATGGGTATTTTATTAAGAAACAAAAATTATGATTTATTTTATTGTATTACTACATTTGAAAACGTTTCAAATTTTACACTGATTTAAATAACACAAAACGCTAAATTTTTCTTAACGTTTTAACTGTCAATAACGGTAAACGGAACATTTTTTAAACGTTTAAATTTGTATAACATTTAAACGCTTAAATTGAATAACGTTTAAATTATTTATAGCGTTAAACGCTCAATTGATTATAACGTTTATATGTCCCACAACGATAAATAATATACATTATTTTGATTGAAGACCCAGTCCATACTCAGTAAAAAATTAGATAAAACACAAGTGAAACTATTAAAACACAGATAGATGTTAAAAAAGAACTAAACAAAAGACCATTCTAAATGGATCCGGCATTAGATTAGAAAAAAAAACCACAAATATTAAGGATTCACTTGATATAAATATTACCAAAAATCTTATTTGTAAATGTTGAGTCTAAATTAAAGAAAAAATTTGAGTACCCCCCCCCCCCCTAGAAATAAGTCTAAATATGCCCCCACGCGTCACCTCGTCAAGAGAATACTGGTGGTGGTAGCCCCCCCCATCTTATAGCTATTAAACGGAGTGGAAAAAATTCTTCTCTGCACCGCGAGTTGACGCCATGGGCGTACCCAAGGGGGAGTTTTTGGGTCCGGTCCCCCCGCCATTGAAATGTCTACATACTAAACGATTTAATAGTAAATAGTACCTATAATCAATGCATATAGTGTATTTTAATTTCCCATTATCTTCAATATACAAAGTTTATAGATTATATAATGAACCAATAATGCACAAACCATACTATAGTATATTAACAGTAATTTTTTGGTATAGAGTTAAACTATATTTACGATTAGAGAACAGATAAAACAATAATTTTGGACCCCCCCCCCATAAAAAATTCTTGGATACTCTCCTGGTTGACACCATAGAGTAATATATTGTTACCATTACTCTATGTTTAATACGACAAAAACAATTCACACCGTACACATGAAAATTGTTTCCATTTTTCATAATATTTTAACAAATAGAACATACACGTTCCACCAACATCTTATCAGATTACGGATAGGAATCAACTTTTTGAGTACGATACTCTTTACACAATAGGGATACAGTGGCCCGATCAGCTGATCGAGCGTCGCTTCTATATAGTTTCGTGATGGACGGAGCTGTTTCTATTTAATCAATAGAATACAGTTGTTGCCAATATGAGCGACGAGTCTCTTAATGAGGTGCGCAATGTGCGCAAGCGCAAAGTTACTCCTCGCTAATTTATCAGATGAGTAATCAGTGTATTGAATTTTGATAGCAAAATCCAAATACTAATTATTTTCTATTGAGTTAATTTTAACTACTGTTTACTGAGTAATTACTGACTCATTAGTAATTTTTATATTTAATAATATTTAATTACAACCATGAGTAAAAAGGCCAATTATCATGCGTGCATATTTTGTTTGAAATCGATCAACTTAAATCCCGGATTATCATTACATGTGTAAGTAAATAAATTCATTGCCACAAATATTTTAAATTTATTATTTTAAGGGTTATTCTTAACAACACATGATATTTACGGGAACTTATCGAATTATTTATATTCAGGAAAGTCCTACTTTAGAATCGAATTTTTAAATTATAAATAATTGATTAAGAATGTAGAAGTCACTTTTGACAGGGAATTCAAAAATATGGCGAATGACAGTGAAAAACGGAGAAGACATTTGTTGTGATAAGAAAATCTATTAAAAACCAATATCTGGATTGAAAGACATAAAAAAAAAGGAATATTTCCAATCAATTAGATTTTTATTTAATACAACTACTAAAGAATAATACATAAAAACCACCAAAATAGTATATTCATTATAATCATGTATTTGTTTTCTTTCAGCTATTGTTAAAAAAAAATATATACAATGTTGCCTAATGTAAATATTCAATGAGAATGAAATTAATCTGCACATTTAATATTATACAAATTAGAGTATATTCTGTGAAGAACATAAAATATATTATTGGACAGTAAAAAATAAAATAGTAATTAGTTTAACACATTTAATATATTTGCACATTTCAAACTAATTCTTCAGGCAATATACATTTTTAAGTTTAATATTTTATCTATTATATTATTTGTATAATATAATATTTTGTTATTAATATTGTTGTAAATATTACTTTTTAAAATTATTTAGATTCCCCAAAGATCCAGTTATAAGGTCAAAATGGTTAAAAATCTTTGGATTAAATGAATCAGACATTTATCCAAATCGAAAGGTTTGTTCATTGCATTTTGAAGAACACTGTTTTTCTGGGCAATACAGAAAATTCCTTAAAACTGGATCTATTCCTACACTATATACTAAAAAGTAATTGTTGAGTATTTAAAGCAGATATTCATATATTTTTTACAAAATACTATTAATTGTAATTTACAACTTAATAACTTATCTAGGGAGTATTTTGTACCAGCAAATCCTTCAACATCTGGAATGAGTTCAGATTTAATTACAAATCTGCCAAATACTTCAATGGATATACCTGTGATAAATTCTGATGAAGTAATCCAAAGTAATTTTATTTTAAAATAAGTGTTGCACAATTAATTATTTTATTTTAATATATTTACTGTCATTATTTTGATTAATCACATAAAAATATATAATTTTTTAACTTTAGGAAGTCTTAAACGTGTACATCATCAGACTTCCGAGTATACAGTTATGTCTGAGACATCAACATTTGCAGTTTTAATTAAAAGTGATGATATTCAAGGTAATAATAAGAATAATGTATATTTTTGTTCTCCTTATATATATATTTATATTTTAATGTAGTCTTTGATATGCCTAACTCAGTGGTGCATTTAATATATACGCGCCCCGGGGCAAAATAATTTTTCCGCCCTTCCCTCTTATAAAAAAAAAAAAATAATATATATAAATAAATTCAAAGTTATAAGTATTATTAATAAGTTATAAGTATTATTTTTTCAAAGTGAATATTCCTCTCTTAATATATATATATATATATATATAGAGATATATATATATTAAATATAGAAAATGGAATTAACACTTATTATATGCACAATGATTAACAATACATGGTTTTTTATTAGATTAAATATATTATATTTATTATTAATTATATATAATAAAATAATCGATAGCTTATACTTTTTTTCTTAACTTTTGAGAAGAAAAATGTTCAATAACATCATTAAAATTAATAGTTTTCGTTAAATCAGCTTCAATGTTGAGGTTTGTTAATTAATTAAGACGATTTTCTCTTGTTGTTGATCTTAAATAAGTTTTGACCATTTTTAATATAGAAAATGATTTTTCTGTTGAACAATTACTTGAAGGTGTACATACATAGTAGCATCCTTAGAGCAATATCAATATAAGGATATACTTCAACTAAACTATTCTCTTTTATAAATGCTAACATACATTGAACACTTTTAGGTACAGTTTTATTTCTTTTGTAAATTTTTTAAATGTGCCCTAAAGTGAATACCACGTTCTGTGTATCCTAGTCTTTATTATAAATATTAAACGAAAATATAATATCTTATCGAATGAAAATGTAATATACCTATTTTGTTATTTCACTATTACCTAGGTGACTAGGTATAGTATAATTTTTTTAATTTCTTATTAGATGCTCAACAATATTTTTTAAAATACTAAACAATACCAAAAAAGGTTTGAAAATTAAAAAAATCATGAACACATCAATAATAAAAGTTAGAATATTTTGCCACTCCCAAAAATGTTCCGCCCAGGGCATTTGCCCCTTTCGAACCGCCCCCCCCCTTAAATGCGCCACTGACCTAAGTGTAAAAATAAAATAAAATCTTTTATAGGAGATATCAAAACACTAGTTCGAGCTAATCCAAAAAAAGCTAAAATACAGTTCATGACAACCGAATGCCAAATTATGATCCAGAGAAGAGAAACTATAGTTATAAATGAAACAGTAAGCGGTCTTCAATAATAAAATTTCTTCTTTAGATGCTCTTTTGAAACATTTGAAAACTAAAATTATGATAGTTTAAGAAGCCTATGATGAAATATTAGTATTATATTTTAAGCTATACTTTTATATTTGTATATGTATATATGTTACTGTATTGAATCAGTTAGCTTATGAAATAACTAGGTAATTTATAAAATAACTAAAATGTGTAGGTAATGTATATAATTAATTAATTTTAAAATTAATTTAACTAGTTATTTTATTCATTTTCTGAAATCACTTAGTAAATGTGTCAAATTGATACATTCATACATGTACAATATCGTTATTTTACTGTCCACCATAGCAATAAATTAAGTAAAACTGATGTTCTTATTGTCGTTGACTGCAGTGTTCATGTATGTTTTGTTAGATAAAATTATCGTTGTACGTGTATTATTATTATGATTGTCAATAAAATAGTAAAGTTTAAAGTTTAGTAATAGTTTTACAGTCACACACATTCAGTGTTTGTTCGCCTGTCTATAATAGTTCACATGAACATACAAATAATTAATTTAATTTAAAATAAATAAAATGTTAAATTTTAATGTATTTTATACTTTAACATAGGTATATCAAACTAAAATTGTACAGAATAACTAAATATTCTATGAAATAAATAGTTGTGGTATAATATTTATGTACGAGTTCATACTTTAACTAACATTCGTATGTAATTCATGAACTACCTAGTTATTTCATAAAATAAAGGAATTCAATACTTTAACTTAAGATATATATGTCATATGATGCAGTTTATGTATTAAAAATACTTTAACAATTGTAATTTGTCATAGGTAATTATTTATTATAAGTCCCTCTTTGTTTATGTAATTAAATAATTATTTTAAAATAAATTTTAATTAAATACTTCTACAATTTTAAGTAAAATCTAATTTTCAGAATACAATTTTTTAGAGTTTTTTTTTTATTATTTTTTTAAAGAAGCTAAAATATTGTATTTTATTTTCTTTTGAAATGTTTTAACATTAATATATTATGATTTATAATGTATGTGTATGACTTAATAATAATAGTCATTATACAATTATTGGTATAGTTGGTTATATTATTTTTCAAGTGTTTTTATTCTATATCCAGTTGATTACGGTGTTTTAGTACTTATTTATTTGTGTATTATACTAGTATAGTATAAAGTAGTATATTAAAATAGTATAGTATAGTAGTATATTATAATAGTATTAATTCGTGTAAAAATGGTTTAATATTACTCAGTATATATAAAGTTTAAAAAAACTATAACTTATGCATATTTTATTATAGAATAAAACTTCCGAACCCATTACAGAAACCATAAATAGAACTTTAAAGTCAAAATATGCAAAATACACAACCACAATTATGTTTTTAACACTTATATTACAATTTTTTTTAGCCATAGCCTATTCTATCATTAAGAAAACTTTAAGCAAATTATTACCACGCCCATTAAGAACAATTAAGCTACATTAAGAAAATGGTATTCTGTCATTGAAGGAGAATCCGGATTCAAAAATGAAGCTTTTAATACTATAAAGACAAATTATAACATTCATCAGAAACAATCGTTGATAAAATTTTAATTTACGAGATGAAAATTAGAAAAAATATCTTTTCTAAATGGAAAATTCTATGGTGGAGTTAATTTGGGCACCCGATTTAAAAATAATTGTGATTCAAACAACATCCAAGAAACACCAATGCATTAATATTTTTGGCTGTTGGTATAAATGGTCATTGGAATGTTACAGTAGATTACTTTTTAGTCTATAATTTTTCTAGAACTGAAAGGGAAAATTTCTAGACTAGCTATGGAATAATATTTTTGATGTTTTCCTTAGATATATGAAATTATGCTTTGTGGATAATAATTTATAATAATAAATTAAAATTTTTTTTATTTATACTTTTAATATTATTGCGATAGACCACGTCCGTTTTGGTAGATCGCATATTTTTGTGGTAGACTGCACATTGGGAGATAGCCATAATTTTATGTTCTCCGGCCCAAACACTTAGTAAAAAAAAAAAAAATTAAAAAATAAGATTATTAAAGCATAGATAATTAGATGAATAATGCAAATCTGTTTTTAAAATTAACATCGGAACATTTCACTGACAGTTAGGGATGGGTAGTTCGTAAGTGAGTCGACTCGAAGAGTTGACTCTTTTAGGTGAACTGAATGAGTTGAATCATTATGCCATTGTTCAGTGACTCTGGGACTCTGTGTGGTTTACTGTAGTTCACAGATTTGTGTTATCAACATAACTTATCAATTCCTGAGTCATGTGATTCTATATTTATATTAAATGATGAACGTCTTAACCAAGGTTTATCATATATTAATTTCTTATATTATTTTGTTCATAATCTACGTATCTACCCAAATTAGCTGCATATTTTGATGATTTTAACTGCATATTTCGATAATTTTAAGTGCAACAAGTCCCGAATCCAATTAATAAAGTAATAACTAATAAGTAATTAGGTATTAATAACCAACTATTTAAATATAATCAAATTTTTTTTTAATGTATTTACAAGTTTCATAGGATTTTTCTCATATAATTCAATTTTAATGTACAATTATAGCTATAACTTGTATTATACATAATCAATGGTTAGGTATACTAAATTAAAAATAATTGATCAAAATATTATATTTCATTTTACAATGGTAAATAAATTATTGTTTACAATGTGTAAGATTAATAACTATACACATATTTTATAAATCAATAGTTCATTGATTATTGATTGATAATGATCTAGCTAATTTTTTAAACTCATTTAGACGGCGAGCCCAACTGGTACATCATTCTTGTGGTGAGACAAGAAAAAGGGTAAGCCCATTACTGACGTTTAGACGACTAGACGCACGTTTAGATATCGACGGTTCGTCGCGAGCGTGATTTGCTTCCGATAGCACTTTGCGAGTCAGACTCGCAACTGTCTAAACGCGCCTTTATGACGTGTTATCAAAAAATTTGATAAATTGGAAGTTGTGGTTGATTCAATGAGTTGACTCAATGAGTCATAGTAATTATTTATTGTTTTACGGAAATCACGCGAACATACGTAAGTACATACAATGTAGTTTTTCGGCGAACTGTTCATCAGTTTGTCGAACAGTTGGCCATTTTATTACGTTTGTGTGAACGGACCTTTAGAGTTTCAAAATCTATATAGTGTTTATAAGCTCGATTTAAAATTAAACTTAACATAAACTTGTTTTTTTCGAATTGGATTGCATAATCAAATTGAGGAAGTAAAAAGTGTTGCGCTATAATCGTATGCAACATTTAAACACACATTTAATTATGATCATTATTGACTTAATTTCAATGGGTCAACTGGTAAATGCATAGCATTAATAAGTGACATGTGCACAAGTGTGCGACCACAAGCAACAAATTAAGTAACATAACAAGACCGATTATTGACTACGGGGAATTTTTAGCACGGTCTCTATCATAACTGGTACTTTTCGCGCTTTTTTTCCTCATCGGATGCAATTTTGTAAAGTGAGAAATGAAGGAATACGCGATCTAATATCGCACTCTTATTTACGTGTAAGGATCGCGATTTACGACACCGGCGCAAAACCGAACCCACTTAACGATCATTAGTGATCAGGTTGCTGGCGATAGTTCTTTTATGAGACTAAACGGTACACGCTAAGGTTGTATAGCGTCTTAGCTTTCATAACGGTTGGTCGATTTACCGATTGATACGTCAGAAAATGGTTACACGTAAATCTTTCGGAATGGTCGGGGCGCCGGAAACGTTGCCAACGTGTATTCGACGGACGAACGCGCACAGGAGTAGGAATGGACACTTTTCTGGGAAAGTAAAATCATGAACATGTCCGGGAATTTTTCCCGTGTCATAAAAGTTCAGGAAATCTTTGTTTTAATGAAATTATCTTTTCTATTGACTACACATGACATTTTAAAATAGTAAAATTGAAATTTTGTATTAATATGAAGTAAAAAAATATTTTATTGTTATGTTATTTGTAACTATACAAATTAAATAAATAAAAAAATATTAATAACAATAATCCACTTAATATTATTTAACTTCTTGTCAAATTGTATAATTTTTCAAACTTAAATTAAAATACAATACAATTAATACCAAATATTTTAATTCTGTATTTTTAAACTATTTTTAAGAACAAATCGAGTTATATTAGTAAAGATATATTTACGATACACCAAGACACCTGTCTGATAATTTCTAAATAAAACAATTTGATACATCACATGTAAAAATAATAATCGTAATATTGGGGAAAATAGTCTTAAAGAGAATTCTTGAGAAAATAATTTTTCCCAGAAACATTTATCGGAAACTTTTTTAACGGGACATCTCTACACAGGAGCGGCACACCGATGTGAGCACGAAATCCGATCGAACGGCGGCACACGAGAACGGCAACGTCGCACGCAACACTAGCATCTATCGCTGATAAACGCTCTCATTGGATCGTCGTCTACCGTTCAGTATTGAACCCTCTGCTGTTCACCGATGTGTCATCGGTGTGTCACGAAGTCCCATCTAACGGCGGCGCACGAGTACGGCAACGTTGCACAAGTACGGCAACGTTGCACGCCAACTGGCATCTATGACGCTCTTATTGGATCGTCGTCTGCCTCTCAGTAACGAAACTTCTATCTTCGTTTGTTTTTTTCTTTCACTTGTTTACATTTACGTTTGGAAACTAATTTACACGGCAGTAAAAACCATCGGTGTGTGTATTACGTTTTTCAGTGAACGGACGACGATTTATACGGTCTACTAAAACATTGAAACCAAAGTATAACACGCCGTATTAACGGGCGGCAACGACAGTTTGTCATCGCATTGTACCGTGCCGTGTTTTGGACGACGGCTTCCGCAAAGTACTCGGCCGACGTGACGGTGTTTGCTAGTTCACTGGTTATTGTCCAGCGTTCATCTAAACTCATCTGATACGCTAGTCGCCTAAGCCATCACCATCATAACTATGTCTGACAACGCTACTGCCACCACCGCTAGTGAAACCATTACTACTGTCGCTAATACAGTTATAGCTACTGCTGTTTCTCAAGATACTATTACAGTCAATAGGTCTCCGAATGCTACTGACTCCACAGTGTCTTCACAATTGGCTTATTCCAACTCGGCTGCTGCCTTGATGACCAATGAAATTTCTGCAGCCAATGATAAAAACGATGATGCACAAAAACAACAGACGCCTGAAGCTGTCGCTGAAACTTCTACGGCTAACAGTAAGTCAATACCGTATAATTGGTTTCTTTCAACCACTTTTTTTGGTATATTCCAGACACTGGTATATGTGTGCATGTGAATATCTAGCTTTTGAGGTTTTATTGACATATTTTTGTACCTCATCTGTCCTATTTCATTTCCACCGAAAACTCATGAGGCATCTAACCGGTTGATAATTATTAACAATCATAAGTAAACGATTGTTAATAATTGGGCTTTCAGTTTCATTGATTTTGAACTA